CCTCTCCTCTTGGATCACCCACAGATAATAACTGCGGCTCTTTTCAGAAAACTGTAAGGTGTTCATCTGTGTATACACAGCTTTGAATTAATACTCATATGCTGCACATACAATCACATCCTATTTCACTTACTGTATGTTATGGTTTGTCTCTAGGTGTCCCTCCAAAACCTCATGCAGTCATGGGGCGGACTTCTAGGGTTTGTGGTTAACTCATGATCCACTGGGATAATGGGAATCCAAGGCTGGGATTATGGGTCTGAGGTCTGCTGGGATTATGGGTGTGAGGGCTACCGCAGCCTGAGGTGGATAGCCTGAAACTAATATAAAAGACAGAGAGACAGACTTCTTTTCTTTTGCCATTGTTGCTGCTACTCTTCCATTCTGCTCTTGCTCTTTGCTGCTGCCACGAACTGCTGCCCTCTGCCATGTGCCAGTCTGCCTGGAAGCCCGCCGAGTATGGACTGAAACTTCCATTAACTGTGAGCTAAATAAACCTTTCCTTCCTTCATTTTGGGTGTTTGTCCCAGCAACGAGAGAAGAGTAACTGAGACACTACACTGCAGCCATTTTCCCACGGTGTTACACTCTGACATTGTCCCTTGTGGACTGGCCAGACTACTGAAAGTATAAAATATAACAAAACATGCTCTCTCCTAAAATGGGATTTTGACTTGGGGCCACGAAAGTCACCAAGAACTAGAAGACCATAAATGTTAAGATGCAAACATAAGATCTTAAATATCATTTGTATTTTCATGGGAGACAATAAGAGAACCAAAAAAAGTAGTTATCCTCCTACATATAAACATGAATACTGGTTGCCCCTCTGTGTGATGCCCTTTGGAAGCCAGGAAATACACTTACTGGCCGTCCCTGACCACGTACCAGACCTCAGGCCAGGCTCTGGCCCTGACATTCTCATTTGTTCTTCTGAATTACTTGTCAATGTAGACCTTTTAGCCCTCCCTTAAAGAAGGGGAAAGGTCACTGAAATTGCTTGTCCTTTTAGAGATTATTTCTTTTTCTTTCTTTCTTTTCTTTTTTTTTTTTTTTTTTTGGTGGAACCAGGGATTGAACTCAGACCCTTATGCTTGCCAGGGAAGCACCTTATTCTACTGAGCCATCTCCCCAGCCCCTAGAGGTTATTTCTGATAAAAGAAAAAAATATATTTAGATTTTAAAAATCCTGAGAATGAGCTAAACGCATGACATGGAATTACAGAAAAACAGCTCACAGAAATTCTAAAAATCAGGAAGAGGAAAAATGAAGCAGAGAAAAATGTGAGTTCCTGGTGGTTCTGTCTGGCAAGGGCAAGAAGAGGGTATTGCTGAGTAGAGGAGCTGGCTCTGCAAACTGGATCCCGAACAAAAAAGGGCCTTGTTCCTCTAAAAGCCCGAACTGAGGCTAAAGGCAACGGCATGGTCTTGGCGTGGAGGCTGAAAACAAGGGTGAAATTAAGAAGCATCCCAGCTCTATGGAGGGCTTGTCACAGGCCCAAAAGGGGTGTGGAACAGAGAACATCTGGAAGTTTGGGCTGTAGGCCTGTGCCAAGCTGCCTGAGTAATATGACACGCGTTGCTGGCCTGGAGGTGGGAGAGCTGCTAGGAAAACCGGGAATGTGGAAGGCCTGGGTCCCCCTGCCTTTGGGTTTAACAAATCCTTTCCTCTTCCACTTGAGCCCTTTAGGATGGTGCTAAAAAGCTAAATGGGGAGCTTCACAAACCAGCAATCTTGCTAGGAACATTTCTTCCTGCTAGGTGAAAGACTGCAGCCTGCGCTTTCCCATAGACAAAGCGAGGTGAGAGATCTCCCACCCAGCCCTCGTGGGCTATAGCTCATAGGCCTGAGCTCCTCTGAGGGGCCTCTTGTGGAATCCAGGGCTTGGCCAGGAATCCCTGCCTTCTACCCCGGAAGGTTTGACAGGGGCTCAGCAAACCTGGCGGCTGTTCTTCAGGTTTGGCAAACTCAGGATTTTTCCAGCGCCTTGTGTTCAGTGAAACTGAAAATGTGTTTGGCTAGAAAGCCTTCTCTAATTTTTAAACCCCTGTGCGGTTTTTTTTTTAAACATAAATTTGATCCACATGTTTTTGATTTATTTATATTTAACTCATCAAATCAAATTAGGAGCTACAATGATGAATGGGGGGACAATGGTAATTTCCAAGAAGATTTTTGAGGCCGTTTTCTTAGAACTAAAATCACATTTCCTCACCCACCCCCCTCAACCGTTAAAACTACCAGACTGAGCTGGGATTGAAATTTAGAACCCAAATGTGAAATAAGGAGCCATGCTTGGCAAAGACAACGCATAGCAGGGAATGTTCTGGGGAAGTCACAGTTAGAAAGTGTGTGTGTTGGGGGGGTGAAGGCAGGGAGGACTCTGTCTTCATTAGATGGTTAAAATAGATGAACCTGGCTTTCTGGGCTCCCAACTGAAACCTCCTTAGAGCTTGAGTCTGAACTTACTATTCATACCACGAGGCAAAGGTTTGGGACTTGGGGGGTGGGTCCCTGAACCTATCTTTTTTCTTCTGTTCTTCTCCACGGCAGCCAATTCAAGCTGTTCTTCTCTTCCTCTCTAACAGCACCCTGCCCTCCTTTCCTGGCTCTAGCGAAGGCCTCTCCATCTGGAAGTATTTAAAGTGTGCAGCAATTTTAATCTCCTGCAAGAGAATCTCAGGGTATACACTCCATATCCATTATGCTGAATTACAGGTACACAATCTTATTTTGCATAGCTCTGCCTGGCTTAGCTTTGCACATACACAAAAGGTCATCTTCCCCAATTACGCTCTCTACTACGCCATCATTTCCCTCAGCTTCAGCCCAAGACCAACCATATTTATCTGAAAGTCTGGCCAAGAAGGTCTGATGACAAAATTGCTCTCTTAGGTTCATAACAAAGCCCCTGGAATCAGTACCTAGTAGGCTCCTAGCACTGCAGAAATTTCTCTGAACTCAATTCTCTCCCTAGCACCTCTTGATTTAATTAGACAGATCAAGATAAAATACCAGCTTTCTACTTAGTACCTACACATCTTGAGGAAGTTATTTCATTTTTCTAAGTCTCAATTACCAATCTATAAAATGGGTAGATATCACAGCTATCCTTGCTCTACAAAGTTTCCGTGAAGACATAATGTGACGCTGTGTGTAAAAACCCCAGTGCGTCAGATGGAAAACACGGAGATGTTGCAAAGGTGCAGAGTTTCAAATTAACAGGAGGGACTTGGTTTTAGAGATCTTCTGTGCCATATGGTGATTCTAGTTGATAATCACATACTTTAGATTTCAGAAGTGATAAAAGAATAGATTTTTAAAGATCTCTTTTCCTGGGATTAGTAATAGACAGATTGGAAGATCTAGTCTAAATGCACAAAGATCATTTTCTTTCCCGCCACACGGAACTTCTCACTCTATAGAAGAAGGTTATGCATTTTGCACATGGGAGACGGAGGAACGAAGGACATTTTTGTCTGCTCTGAGGAGCAAAATACCTAATGAGCATTTCCCAAGTTCCTCAGCGATGCGTCTGGGCAGCAGAAAGCACTATTTAACGTGTCTAATAAATGCCTCTCCCCCAAGGATGAAAACACAAGTTTATGAGGCCAGTCATGCCCCTACTCACTGGAATTCAAAGATTGATTGCTTTTCTCCAGAGAGAAGTAGTTACAGCAGTAATTCATGGATTCTGACGATGGCCTGAAGCAAAGTATCAGGAAACCACCAGCTTCTGGGGGGCCTTGAACACATTATGCAGTAAAGGTCTTGCACATGCAGAACTGCAGAGGGGGCTTGAAGAAAGAACACGTGCAGGTTCTCGGGGAATGGTTGTTATTTCTACCAAGTTGACTTCATTTAAAATCCTGAGTGTCATCAGGGAATGTGTGTGTCTTTTATGTCCAATTATTGGAGATTTACCTCTTGATGGCCTCTTACTTACTACATCTGATAATATTTTGTACACTAGCGACAGCTCTGCAGGACTTGAAGGGACCACACCAGCTCACTGGTCTGCCTACAAAAGGATCAGAGTTGCCACATAATCTGACAGGCAATCCTACTCACCAGGGTGGAAGTCCCCTGTGGGCCTGTACAAAACACAAGTGGGGCCAACGAAACTACTATTAGATTCTGCTATCACATGGGAACAAAATCTTTTCTAATTGATACTTTGTGAAAGTAGACATACAACCTGCTATGTTTTTCCAGTATTATAGGAAATGTGATGTTTTTACACAGTCCAACACAGGGCCAATATGTTTTTCAACTTAACTACTCCAAACAACTGAGTAATAGCGGCTTTGCAGGTTATTAAAATGTACCACGGGGATCACGCACACACAAGTAGTTGTGATGTATGGCAGGCTGTGAAAACGCCACGAGAGGATGCTGCTCCATGTGGGTGAGCAGTTGGCAAAGGCAGTATGCTGGCTGGGGAAGGGGGGAATCAGGGAAGACCCCATAGGAGAAGGCTGTGCATTAAACCATAATGAAAAAGACTTGGGCACTTAAAGACGGGGAGGAAGGGCAGGCCTGGCAGAAGGAATAGCTTTAAACAAATACGGACAAGCACGTGCAGAGAAGACGTGCATGTGGCTGGTGCAAGGAGCAAAGATCGCGTTAGAAGGTTAGACCACACTAGAGCAAGCCTTAGACCTGGAGAAGCCCGCTTTCTTCTCCAAGTCACCCGGTGCTACTGAAGGCTTCTGAGCCTCAAGGAACCAGGGAGTTGTTTAACGAGTCACCCACTAGCAATACATAGGGAGGCTGATCGAAATAGCAGGAAATGCCACTAGGAGCCTGTGCAGCTCTCTGGGGAGGAGGTGACGAGGACATAAACTATGAATGAGCCCGGAGTGACAAGAGACAATACGGAAGTAGATGTGACAGACACAAGGTGGCTACTAAAAGGGAACCCATGTGAACCAGGGAAGCAATAAAGTAGAAAATATTTTATTGCGCAAAATATAAACAAAAAAACCTCATGTGGTACCTCTGGAGCTGAAGACAGGAATGGTTTTATGTAGATGTTGGAGTCATGCACTTTCAGGTCATGGTCCCCGAGTCCCCTGGTCACGCCGATAGTTGCCATAACCCGGGCCTAGGGGCGTAAACAGAGGGTCATCAGAAAGAGACACACAGCGAAAACTTCCCACTGCACTACCGCTGCTGCAGGCCGAGAGTGCTGAAGGCATTTTCCAACTCTTCCCACCATCTTTCCACATCCCTTGCTGGCTACTTAGGCAGGCAGTTGTTACCAAGCAAGCGTGCACACAAAATCACTTCTGCATCTGAATTTTCTAGTTGTCCTAAACTTGCGGGTTGTCGCTCTCTCCTCATAGAGGCTGAAGGGACAGTGCTCAGTACATCAACTTCAATGTACGTGTGATGTCTACCGTTGCTGAAATCGGTTCACATCCAACCCAACAGCATCCACATATCCACTCCCCTTCTGTAGCCCAATTCTTTACAAATATTTGCTTTATCCTCAGTTGAGTCTCTAACTCTACGATGAGCACGAGCAGAAGATGCAGAAAGGCAGAGGCAATGCCTAGCCTCTCAAAGCCCAATGATTTAGCTCTATGGATGGCAAAAAACGTATCATTATCAGCTCTGTGATCTATCCTTCTAGGGTATTCTGACCGATGCCTCTGCGTAGGAAGGGACAGAATGTCACCAGTGTGAGCTACTCCAAGACACCAAGCTGAGACCTCATGCTTTTCCTAATCTTTTTACAAATGCTTTAAGGAAATAAAACACTGTGCTAAAACCTGAAGGGTCAGCTTAAATATTTGGATGCCACTGTTTCGATTTACTGACACATATTGGGCGTTAGCTGTGCGCAGATACCATGTGGTGGTGGGGGGGACGCATGTCTGAGGCCTCATCCTTACAGGAAGGTGGTGAGGGAAGTTGGACGTACTGCAAGTCTAAGCGATCACATGTGGGACATGGCTATGTGCTGAATGACACATGAACAACGGGGTAGGCGCGCTCTGGAGGAGGTGGTACCAAGCTGGGCACCAAGGAGAGCGAACACCTCGCAGGCAGACACAGGGAGAAGGAATGGAGCACTATGGCTTCACCCTGACGTCATCAGTAACACCCTGGGTGATGTCATCATCACAACCCTGAGCTGGCCTCCTCCCTCTATCACTTACTAGGAGTAACTATTTCATTGAGGCGAAGAGGAAATAAATGGTACAAAGCATTTACAATCCCACACACTACCTCCGTTTTCATCTCACTTTCCCAAAAGACTTGGATACTTTGGAACTGGTCTCTAGCCAGAAGTTAGGCAGAGTTTACAATAGGGTAGAAATGGGCCAGGGAGATGGCTCAGTAGAATAAGCACTTCTCTGGCAAGTGCAAGGGCCTGAGTTCAATCCCTGGTTCCGCCAAAAAAAAAAAAAAAAAAAAAAAAAAAAGGGTAGAAATAAGGCCATGATGAGTTTTCCTAAGGGCCAGTGCCAAAGGGGATAAAACGCAGACGTGAACAATGAAGCGCAGGGACTGCTGGTCAGGTTTCAGAAACTCTTTGCTGCGCTGGGAGGCTGGGCAGCGAAGACGCACGCTCACCTCTAATGTGCCGATTCTGGGCTCCCTGGGGTCCCTTTGCTCTCCCCTGCAGGAGCAGCTTCTCTGGCTGAAAAGACCACCTCTGTGCTTCAGGCCAAAGCAATCTGATGTTCCTGCTAGCAACTGAATGTGTTTACAGAGTGTACAGGTGTTGCCCATACAAATCCTTAAAAGCACTTCTGGAGATAAAAAGGAATAGCCAAGAAAGCACTTGGAAGCTCCTGTAGGGGAACTCAGGAAAAAAAAAAACAAACCCAAAAACCGAGGTGTAAGGACTTAAGAAAGCATGCTAAGAAATCATGGGGTTCTCAGACTCCAATGGTGTGTTCTTTGGCCACAGCAAGCCTACCAATAAACACAGCCAGAGACACAATGGCTTTTTTTTTTTTTTTTAATCCATACAAGGTCTCAATACACAGCTTGGATTCATAGTGATCCTCTTGCCTCAGCCTCCCCAGCATTGGGATTACAGGCATGTACCACTATGCCCAGTTCTGGGGTCAGCAAAGTGTGCCCAGGGTTTCAGGGCCAGTGTGGCCTGTGGGAACTGAACTCTGGTCCTTGTGCTTGCCAGGCAGGCACTTGGACCACCGAACTATCTCCCCAGCCCACAGTGGCTTTTAAACAGGCCAGGAGGTACAATGACAATACTTGCTAGCTGCTCATCCTACAGCTGCCAAGCCTTAATCAGCTGCAATGTCTGAGAGATGTGTTTGTTTACGTAAGTGCACTGAACTCTTTTTTTTTTTTTTTGAACTTTTTACTTAACTGAAAAACTATTTAATCTTTTCCAGTGCACTGCGGATAACATGTTAGGAACACGGCAGTCCACTCTTCTGTGTATTAAGGGGAGTACAACAGCTTACTTAAAACTTCAGAATCGATTGAAGGTGTGCCACGGGTCAGAGACCAAGCTAGGCAAGTCTAGGGGGATGTGGTCCCGAGCTTACTGGAAATTGCAGGATCAAGCAGGTAACAGGAGAAACTTAGCCCCGAGAGGAACCGCAGCTGCTGGCATTGGTCACCATACTGAGTGACTCATGAAAGGTACCCACTGGCCTGAAGCACTTGCGTCATCTTCCCTTGATTCTCGGCCAGAGTAGCAGTAGAACAGGGCAGCAGTTTATAAAAGGACGTGGGTCAGATGTTTGTGTTTTGTTTCAAATCAGATGCCTCCTTCCATTAAAATCAGTGCTGGGTTACACAGAGGCCCAAACCAATCTGGCATGTGTGCATTTTCTTACACAAACACTTTGATACACACATAACCCAAGTGCATTCTGCCCAGGAAGGCATGCCTTGGTTTTCCTGTGAGTTATTTCTTCTTGATTAAAAACTACTGAATGATGAAAAAAATTTCTAGTTGAAGATTCTCTTAATATAACCCCATTTTTTTCCTCTTCTAATTGGGAACCTCAGCACTGACTTGAAATGTACTGATGTTCAGAGGAATAACGAACATTGCAGAAGGTGTTTATTCCAACTGAGAAGAGGCCTAATGCTTCTTCATCCGCACCCCAAAATTTCTCTCTCCCAGAGATCTGAGTGCTCCTTGGAGAGATCTGTAGCCTTCTGGGAGCGGGTTTGATCTCCTGCTGCTCAGCGCTTGCTTCTGGAAGCAGTTCCCGGTCTTGACCCCTTCAGCCTGGGCTCTAGTCGATGTGATCCTATGGCTTAGGAGTGAAGTTTAGGAGTTCCTTCCCTGCGGCAAGTAGAGCAGCAGACCTGCGAAGCTGGAACTTCTATTGAGGTGCAGAACAGTGAAAAAGGAGGGAAAGCCACAGCTTCTGCCTGGCGCCATCCCTTGCTGGCTGCGCCTATGTCTGATCCGCTGAACCTCACGGTCCCTGCTTCCTCCTCTACCAAATGCAGGTGGCACTGCCAGCTTGACCTGCCTCCTCATTCATTGTCAGACATAAAATGAGATGATGTATGTGAAAGGGGTCATGTTTAAATACTGTAAAAGTATACTCAAAGGGACTGGCTGGGGGAAGTCATTTTCAGACTTGACTTTCATTCCATGTGTTCATAGCCCGTCTCCTTCAATCCCCAACTACACCGTCTCCTTCAATCCCCAACTCTTTGGACCCCCCGAGACAGGCAACCTGAAGGGTGATGGATGTGATATTCTTTTGAGACAATAAAAACCTGAACAGTGAGTGGAACACACAGACTGCCAAGGGCTCTGCAGAGTAATGAAGGACACGCCCCCCTCCTCTCCATTCAGGGAAGCACGCGTGCCTACCTTCTTGCCTTCGCCATATATAAGGGGAAACTTCAAGTCATCATCCTCAATGGTTTTGTAAGCCCTGTAGGGAGATAAACAACATTTTAAAAAAGGCTTTCACTCAATTAGTGACCCTCTGCTCTGGCAATGGCTGCTAGGCACTTTCCCATTCTCTCACCATACTACCTGTCCTTATATTACATAGCTATCCTCCCTGTAGAATTGATGGTGTGTGTGTGTGTGTGTGTGTGTGTGTGTGTGTGTGTGTATTTTAGCAAACACCAAGTCTGTATGTATGCTTGAAGAGAGAGAAAATCAACTGACATTCATAGTTAGTGATAAGAGGATACAGACTTCTTCCTTAGGGTCTGTGTATTCATGAGGTCATGTTAGTCACCTAACAACAGTGACTTGGTCCTCATGTCAACCTGCAGTGTGAGAGGCAGCAGAGCCACAGGCGGGTGGAGTGTGAACCTGCTCCAAGAGCCAGTTCTCACTCTCAGGGCCATTCATGCCAAGACATCCTTTACTGAGATGACTGGGAGAGGGGTAGTCAGAACCCATTTGACCTCAGGATGACACTCAAGGTTGGCACAACTGTGTTTCACAATAGCTTTAAGATGGTCATTCAGCACACAGGAAGAAAATCCAGTTATGCTTCAAAGGTTTATTTCACACATGGCTATTAAGATGCCACCACCAGCAAATGAAACCTACACCCTGCAATTTTGCTCATAAGTGAGTTAAAAACAAACAGGAAAACAAACACGCATTGGGCTCAATTATTAGCTCTATCACCCTAGGCTAGTAGCTTTGCCTTTTTCATTTTCAGTTTCCTCATCCATAAAATGAAGATTATACACAGGATATAAAAAGCTTACTACAGAGTCTGTACTTATTAAGACCCCAATTAGCAGCAGCTATTTCTAGGAGTTATTAGATAATGAATACTTGGCATAAGAGTTTCTTTCTGCAAAATGGGGCCATCAGTGCTTATTACCTCACAACGGATGCTCTCTCTGGACCTCGGGGTCCTTTTTAATCAAACGAAGAAGACAAAGTAAAAGATGGGCTAAGTGAGAGTGTTAGAAGTTGATCCTCTTCTGCAATCAAGTCTCCTGAGTGCACGGCAAAGCTATTTTAGGACACAGCGTCTCAGTCCTACATGCACTTAGGCAACTTGAGAATGGATCAGAAATCAAAATGTACAGAAGCTTCTGCCCCAGGAAAGAATGCGAGCTGATTTAGCAAGTGTGCACCCCAAGTGTAAAGCAAGGCTATCTGTACTGTTCAGCAAGCTTTGTGGCTTTCTCGTTCCTTCTCAGAGGGCAGAGAATGGGTAAGGTTTTGGCATCCAGGGTCCCTGGGCTCACATTCAGTCCTGGCCAACTGCAATCTGGACCTCAGGATCCTAATTAACCAAAAGAGGCCAAACCTGGTACTCACTCCTGGGGTTGCCAGTAAGTTTGTTGCACAGGACCATGTTATGAACTCAATAAAGGCTAGTTGCTGCTGCTACTTTTTTTTTTAAACTTTTTTTTGTTTATTTATTTTTACATTTATTTACTCTGTGTGTGTGTGTGTGGCCAGCTCAGCCCACCAGGGGGTGGGGCTGGCTGGCATGGGGGATCGAACCGCGGTCCCTGTGCTTTGCCAAGCTTGTTCCAAGTAGGTGCTTTAGACCACTGAGCCATCTCTCCAGCCCCAATGTTGCTGCTACTTTAGTGAAGGTTGTGTAGTCAATGAATTTTCATATCATCTCCTTCCTTCAAATCTGCCAAGTTGACACAAAGTAGATAAAGCCACTTGGATGTTCTATATACTTACATGAACTATTTAAAACACTGCAATCCACAAGCCACTTGGGGAATAAAGCTATTATTAGAGCCTATCCTCAACTTGGGGATTGACCAATTTTAGAGACCAGTGGTTCTCAATCCTGGCTACGGCTGCGTCTTGTAGAAGGGCTTCACACCCTTCTTAGGGCCAGACCACATCTCAGAGCAAATGAAGCAGAATCCCTAGGGCGTGAGACTCAGGCTGCAAGTTCTAAAGCTTCCCAAGGGATTCGCATGCAGCCAAGGTTGAGATGCCTGGTGCAGACCCAGCAAGCTAACACTTGAGATGCGCAAAGCAATAAGCCCCTTATCAGCCTGACCCCTAAGAGGACAGTGAAGGAAATGGCCTGAAAAGGAGTTGAGATGGCCACGAGGAAGACTTAGGAAGGCCACACAGAGAGGAAAGAGTGGGAGAAGGCAGGCCCGGGAAGAGCAGGGCATATCAGGATTACGTCCAGTGCAGGGCTGCCTTGCAACTCAGCCCCAGGACTTCTGGAACTGGATGGAAGGCAGAGGGCGGCTGCTGCAGAACGAAGGACAGGCCATTGCGTAGAGCTCACTAGAGGTGGGTTAAGAGGCAGCGAGAAACTGCTCTCTTACTCGGCCACAAGCCTAGGTCACTAAATTCTCCTGGGGCACTGACTTTGGGGGGCATAAAAATCCATGTTACTACAGCTCTGAAAAACAGACACTTGTCATCCATGAGACCAAGACAAGTGCAAATTTTAATATATTTTGGCTTCCATTTCTTTACCTTCAGGAACAACATATGATCCAAAACGCTGATGACAATCTTGCAAAAGAAAGGGTTCTTCTGTTCCTGCCAGTGTTGGCGTTTACTCAAATACGAATCCTCCCTTTCCCCTAGCAACAACTGACAAGGACAATAGCTACAAATAAGGAGAGAAACTTCATCATATAAAAGTAAGTGGACTTCCTCTCAGTTAGTTCTTTTTTTTTTTTTTTTTTTTTTTTTTGCGGTACCAGGGATTGAACTCAGGACCCTGCGCTTGTCAGGCATTCCTCTAAGTAGTAAAGTATAAATATTTGGGCTTGGTGTATAGATTAGTGAAAGGAAATCTGATCAGATTCTGTATAAATTAATGAGTTAAAGATAATTGTAAGACCAGATGTGGTGGTGCACGCCTGTAATCCCAGTGCTGGGGAGGCTGAAAACAGGAGGATCGCTATGAGCCTAAGGTGTGTAGTGAGACCCTGTACCAAATACATAAAAGATATTTATAGCACCTATGATTTACTAAGCATTATCCACATACTGGACACTGAGCATGGTACTTATTGTTCATGTCTAAAGTCTCTTGGAGGATCTGCAATGTCCTACTAACTTACAGAGGAGGGAACTGGGGTGCAGAGAGATTCATTTTTGTTCTCAAGATCTTATACCAAGTTAGTGGTACTAACATCGGACTCAGGTTTTCTCAGAAAACACACCAAAGAAATGTACCACCAGGTCTCTGCTGTGGAACATCTCATGTAGCCAGAGAGCCTGAAACAAGATCACTACTGATTGCCATTCAATGTGTAGACAGCACACGTTTGATAGCAAAAAAGAGGACTTTTGGCAAAGAAGAGGAATTTTCTGCACAAATGGCAAAGAATAAAAAGTGGTCAGGTGGGCACAGGACTGGTGGCTGCTGTGCTATAGCATGGAAGAAGGGATGGAAGTCAGTGCAAGTGACGGTGCCAGTTCTTAGACCCGAAACAGCTTCCCGGGCTTCTTCACCCTGCAGCATACAGCCTAGGGCATCCCACAGAGCACAGGCCTCCCTCGGTCTGCTGTGCAGCTGAAGGAGCCTCCGCAGGGCCAGCCCACTCAGGAGACTGTGTTCCAGTCCACGTCCAGGCTATCAGCCTGGCTTTATGTTGGCAGCTCGCTTGTCCTTGGCGTTCATCCTTCTCATGGGGCGGGGGTGAGAGGATGAGTGAGAGTTCTGCCGTTTGAGAGCTTCGGGACACACAGGCACTTTGGATTTGAGACTAACAGAGAACGTCTGGAATTGAACCAGCTCCTTTATACCAGCTCCTAAGATTTTTGAACTCCTAATTAAAGAAAAAACCCTCCCCAAACCACATCACTCTCTACTTTTACAATAATATAGCTGACCAGAGATTATATTGCAATAATTACTTGTTATAAGATAGCAAAACTGAAAGGCTTAGGAAAGATTTCTAGAACGCTCTTATTCTAGGTCAATTCCTTTATGAATATTTATGAGGCCAATTGACAAAAGGATGAGATGAGGAAAAAAAAAAAAGCAAGGCTTAAAAAGCATTGCTAAATTCTTGGTCTGCCCTAACTCAGAAGCATTATTCTCCTAAGTTTCTATCAAATTTCAAGTAATGTCTCCTTTGGAATGTTGGGGATTAAGCAGTTAAAAGAAGTAACCTGCCATGTTCTGGGCACAATGGGGAGAAGCAGCTCACCATCCGCCAAGACTGCAAAGCCACTGTGCCAGAGGCAGCCAGCTGGGAGGCCCCACGACTGCACCGCGTCTGCCGGGCCCCGGCCTCTCTAGAAGGGACTGCAGTCGACAGTCGTGGTTCTTGCCTGACACCAGCTCATGTACCTGCAAGGCAGAGCTGGAAAATCTTTCTTAAGCTGTCCCACACCCACTGTTACGTTCGGTCTGTCTTGTGGGAATAAACTCCGTGTCTCTCCTTCGCTTGAGCTCTGCAAACAGATAGAAGCGCTCTTCCAAACGTTCTTCTTCCCTAGATCTTTTTGCTGTTTTGCACAGGACCTGGGGACCATCTCCCACCATTCAAGTTACCATTCATTCAATAAATATTTATTAATCAAGCACCAAATATTTTAACCTTAAAGAAAGACAGCCAGCATTGAAAAGACAGGTGTAGTTCAAATAAGAATGAAATTATTTTTTCGATTTAGTCTTACTTTTTAAAAAGAAATTCTGGGGGCTGGAGAGATGGCTCAGTGGTCTAAAGCACCTACTTAGAGCAAGCTTAGCAAAGCACAGGGACCGTGGTTTGATCCCCCAGCACCACATGCCAGCCAGTTCCGCCCCCTGGTGGGCTGAGCTGGCCACACACACACACACACACACACACACACACATAAATAAAATAAAAAAAGATAAAAAGAAATTCTGTTTGTGTGTTCGAGAGAGAACAACAAAAAACTCACCAAAACTCCCCACAAAAACAAAAACAAAAACCTCCCAATTAACAAGAAAAAAGACCTGAAGGTTTTTCATTTTGGGGC